AGCATAGACAAGGCGGAGGAAATCATCGACATGTTGCTGCAGTGGTTGCGGTTAAAGAAAATAACACGGCATCTTGCGGCAGTTTTTGAGATCGCGCTCTGAAAAACATTTTGGATCCCGATCACTGAAAATACAGCTTCAATTACACTTCGTTCGGCGTAAAGCTCTACTCGAAATAATAAAGATGCCCAACAAGATATAACGCTATTACGAGCAATGATACATATAAAAAAAGCGGAGTCCATGCTAGGCATCATGAAATTTCGAAAAGCGATGCCATAGCCTCCTAAGCGACAAACGTCTCGGTCTCGGGACAGTCCCTGGCAATCTGCGGCAATGGTTGAGCTCCATGCAACGACAGTGACGATCCATGGACACTTACGTGACCTTCCTGTTGGCATTTGTAGCAGGTCTTGTTCTTGTTCGCAACTGAAGCGGTCTCACCGAGCGAACCAGGGGTTGCAAGGCAGTCCCTGTGGAAGGTGAGACGGCGAAAGAAAAGCAAGACGGTACATACCTAGCCATATGGTTGGGGCCGCCACACCTGTAGCACTTTACAGGCGGCAAAGTAGCGGTATTGAGCGCCCTTCCGGGGGGAGGCGCCCGAGAGGCAAAGCCTCCCATTCCGTTGGCTCCGTTGGGACAGGCACGAGCAATGTGACCGAATCGGCCGCAGTTCTGGATAGAAAATCAGTGACGACTTGGATCAGAAGAACGAATGGTAACGTACGTAGCACTTCTGATTGCTTCCTTGCTGCTGGATCCTTAAACTCGGACATTCCGCTGGTACGGAGGTGAGGCTTAGTCCCCTAAGACGGACCAGTGCGAGACAGACCTTGAATATGGCCGACACCGCCGCAAGAGTAGCACTGTTTCGCAGAAACAGTACGGGGAGACGGACAGGCGGAGGATTCGTGACCAGGCTGGCGGCAATTGTAGCACAGACGTTGCTCCGAGGAACAGTTCTCGGCAATATGACCGACTTTGCAATGTTTCAACGAATGGCCCGTGACGAACGCTTGTCAGACTCACGATTACCGCACTTGAAGCAACCCTTCCTGGAATACTGGAACGCCATACTCGAAATCCGGACTTCTTCTGAACTGGAGAGGGGTAGATAACCCGAAAATTAGCGAGGAAAAAGGACGAGAAAACGACGATACGGACCTCACTTCACCCACAGCCAGCTATCCGCTTACGACTCTGCCTCCTACGTGTGAAGACTTTGTAGAGTGGATGGAAGAGATGTAAGAGTGATGACTGAGCCCGGGAAGGGTCTGATCGAATTTGGTCTAGTTTGGCTCAAGCTTTGACTTGGACTCTAACTCTGATATTGCAACGAGCATCTCGTTCTACCTGAAGATCTTCTGGCCCTTTTATGTCCGTCTCTTGGACCACCACTATGGCTCCTAGTGCCGCTGGAATTAGGCGGATCAGCTGAGCCGCTGCCTCGCCGTTATCTCAAATCAATCACCTCCATTCCTGACTGGATTTGGCATTCTGGACCTGACCCTCCAGTATAAAAACCCGTCTTTTCTTCCCTTGAAACCTTGGGTTCGTTCCACCCCCACTTTCGGCCAGCTCCTTTCAATCAGTGTAGCCCCGCGAGGCTGGTTTGTCGAGGTCAGCCGCCTTTCTCTGCTACCTTGCTCTCTCGCTGACTCGTTGCTAGACCTCACAGGACCTCCCAGCGTTAAGGCGAACTTCGCGCGTTTGCGTCCATCGCGCTTCTTGTTTGGATGCCGAGCGGCGTCCTTCGAGGTGTGTTGTCTCTTTCTCCGTCTTGTTACACGTCGTCTGACCCGTCGATGCAGATGTTTCACCTCTTACGACGTCCTCCTTCATCCTGGCAAAAGGCGAAGTAACGAACGAGCAAAGAATGGTTCAATGTATGGGAGGGGAGTCACTATAACAGGCGCTCCGGATGTGTCTTTCTCACAAGAGGCTTTATGCATATGTTTACATGAACTATCTTTCCGCTCTCTGGTGCTTACTGCCCCTTCTCCTGTCTGAGTCGAACGTTTGGCGTCCGAATCTCCGCCCATCCATCATTTCGCGACTGATGAATTCAACAACCGCGGCGTTGGTAAACCCACCTAGTGGCGCATATATCCAATTGTTCCGCGTGTTCTTTATCTGCCGCCAGGCTGACATGTGGGCCACAGAGTCCTCAAAATTATTGACGCCGAAAGTCGACGCGTACGATCGAAAATTGTCAGCCTTTTTGGGTGTCGCGTCTGCCTAAGTACGGTTACCCGAGACTGAATCGGGAGGTCGTGGCTCATCGATCAAGTCCCTTTAGGATGGTATCTGCAGAGTTTGAACCCCAAACGACGCAAAAGGCAGCTCATCTTTCGGGGTACTCACTCTTGATCCCAAAACACGTTCCAGATGATTAAAGTTGTCCTGTCCAATGGATTCGCAGCGTTTGCCGGTGCGTGGCAAAATGCGCGTCCACCTAAGAGCTTATGTGTATATTCTGATTTCACGTCAAGCCGCTAACTAGCCCCAGATAGCCTCGCGCGGCGCAATCGCGTTATTTCTGCTAAGAAAGATCCCCCACTTCAACTCCGTGTACAGGAGTAAATGTATGTGGACATCCTCCCTAATCACGGCGCTAACTTTTACTCTACACTATTGGCCGAATGACCCGTCGGTGCTGTGTCAAGTCATAGGATGAGACAAGGTGACCAGAGCTTCGAGATGCGATGAAATTCGCGGAGGCAGAATCTCTTTTATGATACCCACCAGTTCTTCTGCCGCTAACCTACAACCTAGACCGCATCCGACCCAAACAATGTTTGCGGGGATTGGAAAGCACGCCAGAGTCATATGCACCTTCGGCGATTCCTGCACAACGCCACTTGCTATCTCTGTCGGTAGTTTGTTTAAGCATTCGAAATGGTCCCATGGGCTGCACGAGTGAGAAAAACTCTCCTCGGAAAGGCAGGATCAGAAGCTGCCGACTTCGACTCCACAGTACGGGTCTCCGTGGTGGAGCTCTAGCGAGGGGCGAAGCCGTTATCTGCGACCACACATTGCGAATACGCGGGTACTAGAATGTTCGACGCCGAAAGTGGGATGACACCCATGTGAATCACTCACTAGCTCGTAGTCTTTCGGGTACACTTTGGAGACCGGGAAAACGCTATTGCGTCACGCTGGCTGGTCTTTCAGCTCCGCGAACGCTGTCGGAGTGTATCACAGGCCAAAGACGGGAGAGGGTTTACGGTTAACGTATCCACGACGGGAAGGGCATCAGCAGTTTTCTCGATCTCTTTTGGAAGGATGAACATATAGCACTGTACGGCACGTACCCAAACCTCGCATAGGAAATGGTAGTCGTCGACCGATTTTCCTGATCATTATCCAGGACCCACGCTAACGGAATCTGACAATCCTCGACCGGCCTCTCGTACTTTTTGGGGATATCTGCTTTTGATTACCCGCAACAGGTAAACTACGCGGTGGAGGTCCTGATAGTCCTCAGTTCCTCTCCTCTCATTCCCAGTCCCTCCACACAAGAAATCAGTTTCGACGGGGGTATCGTCGTGCTATAGCAGCGGACATATGGAATGGTTGGTGTCGCTCATCATACTTGACAGACGAAGAAAGTTTACTTTTCTGTGGCAGTGCTAACCCTGATTTGCGCTCTCAGCTGAGCTGATGCACCAAGTATTCAATGCCGCGGGTTCAACATGGCTCCCTGAGTACGACTAATTAGTTGCGGTTATGGCAGGCCAGCTATAGACGGTGCGATACAGGAAATCGATTCCAGAGACTCTATTCGACGGGAAGTACTTGATGGCAGTCGATGTTGCTAAGAGGACCAGAATCCAGGTCGGGTTGGGACTGGTTCAAGTCTAGCGTTGACTCGGACGCGTGCTTGGGACGCTTTCAGTAAGTACAACATTTTCTCCTGGCTTAGGAGACTCACAGAATACCTCTACTCCCCTAGAGGTTACAATCTATCGGCTCCTGATTAACACTCGATCGCGAGTCGATATGCCTTGCACGAAAGTTTGAGTGCGGAGTCTTTGTACTCTGACCCGAACTTGGTCTACACACATTCTAGTACAGTACCTTCTTACCCAAGGATGGACCGCATAGCGACTGTAGATTTTTATTCCTTCGTGCTCACCTGTATCGTTTCCCGGTGGTAGTCTATCTTTCGACAGCTATCAAGCTGTAAACATGAATCGCTTACAAATATGTTATGGTTCTTCTGAAGTCTTTCAGGCCTGTGAAACGTGGTGATGTATTGTCAACCCACACCAGTTGACACCACCCTCCATTTATTTCCTTTGGGAAGGGTCAGACTGTTGGTAACGAAACTTCGAAAACGATGTACTTGATACTGATGGAAGAGTCTAAGACCAAAACTTAAGTTAACCTACCGCGGCTCACTACATAGCGCTCTTTGTTCCGTAACCGCTTTCTGATTGACAGACAGCGTCGGCGTGTCTACTTCGCATCCTATTTTTGCTTCCTGTGCTACTATCAGCCGATTGGTCTGGTCGTTGACCAGTGGACTAGTAACATCAACTGCAAGAGTTCCCCAAATCGGTTTCTAGTAGGCGATCTCCTGGACGGAACCGAGCCTTTAGCGCTTTAGAACTTTACAGACACTTTAGAGTTGCGTCATCTCCAAAGTCTTCCTCTCGCCATCCACCTTCGTCGCGGATGCTGCCAGCGCTTTCAGGTCAGAGTTCTCAGGAGTGAACACTCACCTACTACTCACCTCGAAATTTTCATTTTCGACATCGTTGCCGGTACATAATATACGAAGAACTACCTACCTTCAATAGTTGAAAGTTGTGACTTGTCAAGTTTCAACGAACTGACCAGTGACGAGTCACGACCAATGACCATTAGTGATAAAAATTGACAAGTGTGGGTTGCAGTAAACAAAAACTGATAGAAAGGGGATTCGAACCCCTGCCATCATACGATGATGAGAAACCCGAATCGGGCAAGTCTGATTATGATTACATAAAAAGTGACAAGAGTGGGACTTGAACCCACGCCACGATACCGTGATGAGAAACCCGTGTCCGGGTAAGCCAGTTCCGAATTATATAATCCGGACGAACTTGAGTCACACGCCTTAACCGCTCGGCCATCTTGCCATATTCAAGTCTTGATGAAGATATATAGGTTCCCCCCGTCAGATGCACAAAAAATGGAGGAAAACGCTTTCGGCCACCCTCTCTCTTTCTGAGCTTCACGTGTTTTCAGCCCCAGAGGTGGCATGAAAATGGAGCACGCTGCCCTCATTTACATCTACTTCCACGACCATGAATCACACCAGTGAGTCCCTACCCCACGTCTGCCTGAAGGCGTTAACATTATTTAGATATCTAACGACTCTGATGCAGACTACGTAAATAGCGATTGCAGCATTCTGATCCCTGCTAAGCGGTCCGAAGTAGCGAGGAACACGCTGGTCGAGATTATGGGAATTTTTGTGCCTGCGCTGGTAGAATATGTGGAGGATTTCCTTGACGATTACTTGTCTGTTCACTATGGCACCCAGGAGGAGGACGAGGAAGACAACGAGTAGTAGGATTTCATACCCGACCTCGGGGTGTAATATAATACACGAGTACGGCAGTGCCATTAGTCTGATTTGATAATTTCATTCCGGTTGACATAGTTGTGTGCCTCTATTTGGCTCATTGCTGCTGACCACCATCACGAACACAGTGAGTGTTCCACATACGAGATTGCACGCGCCTAACACCATTGCAGATGCCTATCATCATCTCTGACGACGAAGACGAAGTCCAGGTCGTCACCAAGCCTGTGGAGCGCCCTCAGATCGAACGTGATGATGAAGTCTATCCCCGGAAGCGAACGAGACTAGCTCCAGACGACAGTTCACGACGTGCAAGTGCCAGCAGCAGTAGGATAACCCGAGCGTCCCATACCAAAACGGTAGCCCCGAGCGCGACTTTGACTACTCCTGATACCGACCCGGACCCCACCATCAATGCCGACTCAGCTACACAAGACCCTCCAAACAATTCTGCAGTGGCAGACGCTCCAACAACTGAAGAGGTAACCTCTACGAAACCCAAGACACAAAAGTCAAAAACTCGCGCTAAAAAAACCACCGAACCTCCTTCCGATACAGCTCTGGACCCGGCGCGCGTAGACTCTGCGAGCGGAGTTATCTCAGACCTCGTTGCACAATTCCTCGCGAAGGAGAAGGGCCTACATGACTTGAAGGATTCGTACGTGGCATCGTTGGACCAGCTTTTAGAGAAGCAAAAGAGTTGCTGGAGTGCTCAGAAGGCTGTTGTTGAAGCACAAAAGGACGCATTTATCGCGCAGAAGGAGGCCGCAGAGGCACAGAAAGAGGCTGCAGACGCGTCAAAAGCCGTTGAAGAAGCGAGGCTGAAGACGCTAACATATGCCAAGGAGAACAAAATCCGTACGATATTCCTTTTCCTACATTGACATATCTTTCTGACTAGAAATCCAGCGTTGCAGCCTGCAACTTCTGCTCCCAAGCCTGTTGACCATCGTCCTGTCATGCAGCCTGTACAACCTCCCGTCATGCAGCCTATGCAACCACCTCAACCCATGGTACAATATGGTTTCCCTCACAACGTTCCCATGCAATACCAATATTCGGTCGCACCAGATGCGAACCAATATGCTTACCAACAGGCCCCCAATATGTCCGTCTCTGCACCACCACCTGCCTAGAATCTCGTTACTGCTCTCTCACTGGATGGTTTCCTCGCTTTAGTTGCAAACAGTGTATCAACTTGTTCGGACTGATAGTTTCGTCGCTTTCCTCGCAAATAGTGTATCAATTTGTTGCTCTCAAACGTTCTCAGTTTGTCATGTATTCGAATAGCAATTAGTTATAATATAAAAGTTCTTCCATAAACTCCAAGCCAGTATCAGATAGCGAGTTCAGAACACTCTGGAGTTCTAGAGGTAGGGTATTCCCGAGATCACGGAGAGTCCGTGCTGATGCCTGTGCGGTGATCATCGCCAACTCCATAGCGGGAGAAATGTAGGGAGGAGCACTTTTGACCCAATCATCAAAAGTGTGCAAATCACCTTCCCTTGCGTGTCGCTTGCCGTTGTTAATCCGGAATGTTGTTGAGCCGCATTGGGCAATGGGGATGTGTTGCCGAATGTCAGGGAACTGCTTGTCGCACTTGGGACAGTAATGATCACGGCCCTTTTTAGCGGTCGATCCTGCTTCCAAGAAATCCTCCTGTCACACATGAGCATCGAGCGGGACAGAGGGTGTAGCTACATATCGGCTGGAAAACCCAGGACAACCTATCTCCGGAAAACTCGCCTGTCGCCAATCGCCATTGATATTCACCGACACGCCGACATTTGGAGTCTAGTTTGGCCGCACGCAGATGCCTACCAATATTCTGGAAAGGCTCTGAGCATCCAAAGCACCAGTACGCGTCCCTGGACTTTTTCTTGGTCTTCTTCGACGGTGGTTCATTTTCGTCGTCTGTCAGCGGGCTGGACTTTGGCTTTCGTTTACGCTTGGAATGTTCAATCACCATATCACCTTCGACGACAGGAAGAAGCAGACGTCGATAGATGCGGTGCCCAGTTGTCCCACAGATTGCAAGGCGATGGTATGAGACCAGGTGCTCAAGGAGATCAGGGTAGGAAAATTTGTGTATGCCACACGACGGGATCGGACATTGGTGCTCGATATCTTGATCAAGCTCGTCCAGATGCATGCGATTGACATGCCGCTGTAACGTATCTGCGTCAAGCCACCTAAAGGAGTTTTAGTAGGTATCATTGTACACAGATATACCACTTACTCCTTCATGCGCACAGAGGTAGAAATTTCATCATCGTAAAGACAAAAAGGACAGCGCGCTGGGACCAAGACGATACGATCGGCAAAATGGCCATGTATCTCTGGCTGTATTCCTGAGGCAAAACTGGAACCGTGTTCAAACTGAATCGCGCGTGGATTGTCAAGCAGATGAGCATCGGCATTGAGAGGAAATTCAGACTGGTCTTCCTCAGCGCGGTCCTCAAACACGCGAAAAAGATTGTCGTAATGCTCCATACAGTGTGCCTCCCACACAGAACGATCACCGATGTTGTCAACAAAGAACTGGGAGCAGAGAGTGCAGTAGTCGACCGCGATAGTACTTTGAAGGTTGATGCCGTGTTCTGTCGCAAAATGCACAAGCCAATCCTCATGCTCCTCTACACCACAGAAACCAACAGTGTCCTTCCACATGCAACAGCGTAATTCCCCGACGGTGGTACTGGGCTTCACCAGGCGACTACAGTGGCCAGCGACGTGAGTGATAAAATCTTTGCGAGTGTTGTAAATGTTTCTTTTGCCGATGCAGCCATGCCAAGAGCAGGGTGTGGGAGTAAAGGCACCCTCTGCCTTTTTCTGGGCATCAGCGCACATCTGCTTTGTGATGCATGAATGTATATGAGATCCGATCCCTTTCCGCATGTTTATCTTGCTATATTTCATTGAGCAAGTTGTTGGGTAACAATATCGAAGAAGCGCACCTGCAAACTTCATCGCAAACGGGGCAGGTATTGTCCTCAGTCGGAAATTCACCGGGATAGCAGGTAGCAAAGGGCCGTGCTGGTAGGCCAATGACCGCATTGACAAAGGACAGAACGGAATCCGTAATCGACGAAAACTCCTGGGTACCATTGATGTACAAGGACATGATTTGGTCAAGAGGGTCGGTGGCTAGTATGCCTGGTATAGACAAAGATATTCTGTCTGTGTTTTCTTGACCTTGAGTATGCATTTTTGTTTTTTGGGGAGCAGCCTAGAACAGATAAGCGTGTTATAGAGTAGATGTAGGGAAGGTCGCACCTGTCCAGTCAGTTGGGGCTCCGAATGGCCAGCAAAATACTCCTTCCTGGATTGTGGAAGTCGGTGGTATGCATTTCTGCGTACAATATTCTTATAGATGCGGTCAAACTCTGACAGCCGTGCAGAGAGTATGTCGGCCTGAGCTTGAAGTGCAATACGTTCTTGGCAGCTGTTCTCGTCAGCCGCATCCGACATTTCGTCAAGTCGCTTGTAAACATCATCCGCGGTTTCTTTGAGCTACAAAGAGATTAGCTGAGGATGCATCTAGGGGAAAGCAGTACCTTTTCCCGTTGTTTCCGCATTTCTATGAGATCCTCATCCTGTAAGAGGTCCTTGGCTGCTTCTGGAGGAAGGTGTAATGGTGCACGGGGATCGCTTCGGCTTGACATGTCTGTGAGGACTTGGGCTGTTTTAAGTGCCTTGTGATCTTGGTCCCGTCCATGTAATATGGCACCCAGGTCGTGGCTAACTTGACGACTTTGATATGATTGCTGGTAGAAGAGTCAGAATCTAAAACGGGGTAGAGATGGCGCATACATACAACGAACTCCATCGCGTTTTTTATATGCCCAAGTAAGCTTGTCCTCTCCTCTTCTGACATGACTTTTGAAGCTCTGTTGGAGGCGCCCCGACGGAGACAGTAGCTAGTTAGGTGGACTAGAGGACGGATTAATGTTTGGCCCATACTTGATACTGGAGACGTACTTAACCATCCCAGGGAAAGGCTGATTTGCCTGAGGTGCCTCGACATGCAATCATATGGTAGTGCAAGCTCAGCATGTGTTATCCAGATACCATCTCTGAATACCTCGCGACGAAGAACGGGTCTCTTTCCGCCTATAGTCACTAGTTGATGGTGGTCCGTTGGAGGGATCTTTGGATGAAAGATGTCATCAGCAGTGGTAATATTCTTCCAGACCTTGTCCTCGATCCCGAGAGCAATGATGAGTGATATGGGGCACATGGCGCGGTTAGGATTCGGCTCTGGGAAGAGGATAAAGTCTTTATATGCGGAGTCGTCTTTACGATGGAATTTGAGGAGATTGATGCGAACACGAATTATGATATAGGGACGGTTTGGGTCATCCGGGTTGGGAATGATGTGAACCTCGATATCGTCCCATTTCAGAGCTTGATTCGTACCACGGTAGCAGGAGCTCTCGACTATAGCACCTGGTCGTTCTGTAGAGAGGGAAGAAAGGAGAATGAAAAGACAGAGTTGTATGCGCATGCGTGTGGTGCGAATGATATTGCGATCCTCCCAAACGGCACGGA